GGATAAATCATTATAATAGAACAAAACCAGTTAGTAAATATTTCCACTATATGAGACATCATCCAACCTGTATTCACAGAGGGAAGACCCCGTTTGAGACAAATCAATATTTACTCACAATTTTATCACTGAATTATAGTTTAGTTATGGTAAAATTCTCAAGTCTTAGAGATTTTCTAATCTCCTGTGGTAAAAAGGCAATTCTTTTTCTCATGCTTTTATCCATAAACCTGCTGTAAAGAAAGAAGCCACCTACTTATCAACCTTGTGTTTTTAGAAGTCCATGTGTTTCCACATTCTTTTCGAGTTAAGCCCTTCTGCTTCAATGTCACCCAAAAAGGAAAAAGAAACCGAGATAGAAAAACCTTTTATTCACATGATGTTCTCAATTTGCATTTCTCAAATGATATTCATTAGTTATTTAAAATAGATCACATACATTATATAAGTTACTATTTTGCATACCACACCACAATAAAATATGCTCAGGATTATAAAAGGAGAATATTTGAAGTTTATGAGTTAATATATATAGCTCCATGCATAAAATGTATGAAATTTAAAAGCACACTTTGAAGTTGTAATGCATATATTTTTATCAGCATATCAAGTCACTGCTTTTAGAATCTGCACATTTAGATTTTCAAGAGGGAACGATGAATGCCTATTTATAGATGATGTTGCGGTGATGATATTGAGAAAATAATGAATGATAGGTTCATGGACTCTGATTTAATACGTTTAAAGAGCATCATGAATTTTATGACTACTTGATAGTATGTTACATGTTAACAACAACAACAAAAAAGGAACAGATGAAAGACCAGAAAAATTCACTGCCAGCAATAAAAGAAAGAAATCCTGGCTTACTGCTTTATAGTTCCCCTTCAACAACATGTCAACACCTTTCCTCACCGCCCGAGATTCAATCTGAATTAATGCACAATGCATTAAGAAGAGAAATAAACAGACAGAAAACAAGAATTTAAGAAATAAAGTTGGAATTTTCAAAAATCATTATGTAAAAAATATGTATTTCTCTACTTATGGTTAAGTATTTTATTATGAGATTGAATCTTAGTGTTTGTTAACTCATACAAATTCTAATAAATGAAAAATAAAATATATTTTATGATACAATTCTAAATTTTAAAAGTTCTACAATAAATCAGTCATTAATATATACAGTGTAGCTCGAGAAACCTAGGGTCACTTGATTAGAGGCTATCAAATGAAGAGGCCTGCTTGTATTGCTTTGTTAATTTTATAAGAAATTCTGTATGTAGAAACAATAAAGATTCAGTATAATTGAAACAAACAACATTTAGATATCATATAGCATGTGGTATATTACTTGCCTGAAAAAAAATACTATGATGTCTTTAAAGAAGTTGAATGTCATATGTAATATAAATCATTCTTTGCACCATCATTTTATTACCAGCCTAAGAGTTGGCTTGTTTTATATTTAAACATAAAAGAAAATATGAGCATTAGATTTCAAGGTGGGAATTATAGATACAGATACCAAGTGGTTTTAAACACAGAATTTTAATTTTAATGCATTTCATTATGAATAGTGTACATGGAAAAAGTAATTTGTTAACATAGTGTCTTCAAATGTGTTTTGAAAGCTTATTTTACTTTTAACATAACTCGTAGGCTCTTGAAATTGTGAAAACTATAGGCGAAACATGTTCATCATCGTGCTTGGTAGAGTGGTGGCAAAAAAGAGGGAGCCCCTGAAGGAGATGGGTTGGCACAGTGGCCGCAGCGATGTTCTCGAACAGAACGATTGTGAGGATGGCACAGGATTGGGCTGTATCGTGTTCTGTTGACTTTGTGGCAGCTCGGAATAGAAAGCGACTCAATGCCCCCCTAAGAGCATCAACAGAACAATGCTCTTCATGTCTTTGAGTTGGTCTGATGCCTGGCGACCCAGTGCACAGCATCATGAAGCACTGCCCGGGTCTGCACCACTTCACAATCAGTATTGTACCAGCCATCTCATGGGATTTCTTACTCTTTTTTTGACTATTTGTGACGCATGCTGCCCTTCTAAAGGTACTGATCTTCTCTGACAGGAACTTCACATATAAGAGGAACGCTCACCGTCCTCACTGCTAAGGAATATGCAGGCTGTGATTCTTGCACGACGCGTGTCTTTGTTCTTCTGGAGACGCGTGGTATACGTGATACTTTTTTTTTCCAACACCATAATTCATAAACATCACTTTTCTGTATTCCTTATACATTATACAGTTTTTTATAGGCATATGAGCTTACTGAAAATTACAAGACTTAAATCAGGTGCACCTTGACTCTCAAGTTGACATGTTTGCTTTTGAACACTTTTAACAGACCTTTTGCAGCAAATATGCCCAATGTAATAGTACAACACCTCATTTCTTGATGGCTGACACCATGGCTGCTGGTTGTGGATGCAAGTAAAATGAAGCCCTGAGAAGTGTGCTTTCTCTGTTTATCACAATGTTGCTTCTTGGTCTGATTGTGAGGAATTTTGTATTTTATGCTGAGATATAATTCGTACAGAGGGGGGTACTCTTTTATAATCCGCACTAAATGCTTCAATTCCTCTTCACTTTCAGTAAGAAAGATTGTGTAATCTGCACAGTGCAGGCTCCTGAGCCTTTTCAATTAGGATGCCATGTTCTTTTTCATAAAGTTCAGCTTCTTAGATTATTTGCTAAACATGTGGATTGAATAGAGAAAGTAAAATATTATGAGTCTGATGTATATCCTTCCTGATTTTGTTTAAACCACAAAGTAGCCCCTTGTTCTATTGGGATGACTGCCTCTCCACCTATATACAGATTCTCCATGAGAAAATGAACTGTTCTTTAATTCTCATTCCTCACAATGTCATCCATATTTTTAATTATTCACATTTTTGGTGTCCTTGAATAATCAAGGAAACATAGGTCGACATATTTCCAGTATACTCTGCTTTCATCCAAAAAGACGCCATAGTTTTTCCAAGAGAGCAAATCTTTACCTGAGTAGACGCCACAGCAAGTGGTGGGTTCTAATGTCAACCTTCAAGTTCACATCTAATGCTTACCTCTGCCACACAAGGGCTCCTCTTATGTATTACAATAATGAATAATTATCCAGGCACCTTCATCGCATGTTTGGTCCATTTTAGATTACAGAAGTTAGGGGAAAGCTGCAATTTGTTCACCTTTGTAATTATTGGTTGGTACAAATTTGAATAATAGAAATATTAACTCTCCTTCTTTTGAGGCATAGAGCATATGACTGTTGGGTTTAAAATTGCCAGTCTGAGTCCTTTTGCATCTGATGAATGACTGGAAAGTGTATGGGCAAGCATTCCATTTCATAATTTACAGCTTCCAAGTTTTCTAGATTCATAGTTCTCACATTCCATGTGCCAATTATCAACGATTGTTTGTAGCCATTCCTTCTGATTTTGAGTTGTACCTCATTCTTCTCATTGTGAATCAATTTGAGTTGTAGAAAAATAACAGCTAATGATTTTAATTATAATGGTAACAATTGCTAGTATGAATAGATTGTTTTATATACCCCAGATACTGTTGTAATATATTTTCAGCTCATTTAAATCTAATGGCAGCATGGAGGTAGCTGCTTCTGATTTACATAGAAGGGAAATGAGGTATTTACTAGTGTAAAATTTGCCCAAGATCAACAGCTAGTTAGTGGAAAATCCAGGTTTTAAATCTAAACCTTGTATTTTCTTACTTTAACTAACTATTCTTCAGCAAGCAAATTCTTAATGATAACTCATCATGAATGAAAGTGCTAAAGTTGAGAGATATTATATACTGTGCTCAAGATCACACAATGGAATGCCTTATTGCAAAATTACCTCACTATGTAACACCATCATAGTCAGCATTATTTTCACCTCCCCTCTCGGCTTCTGGTACTGCCATTTACATTGTTAATGATCAAAAGAGAGAGTAGCTTTTCACTATGGTTATAAATGTGAAATACTGAACAGCAAGATGGTAAAACATGATAAGTAAGTGTATGTATATAGGGACAAATTATTTATAGCTTTCAGATGCATGCAGTAGTTAAGATTTCTCCATACCAAATGTGCATTTCTATAAATGTTGCCCAAACACTAGAGTCTTCTTTTGGGAATACTCTCATACTATGTTTTAAATATCATATTTATAATACTTAGTTTAAAAAGTAATAATGTTTTTAAAGCCTCTCATGTGAATTGCATAATTCCAGAAAGTGAAAAGATTACACATTTGTTGTTTGTCAAGACATAACATTTTGTGTCATTTTAATATGTTAGTGAATCTGTATGGGAACATGAATATATGTGTGTTCTAAGATTAAGAAGTACTTTATATATTTAAAGGAGGTAAAAGTCTGACACATTCAATTCATATCTAATAACATGTACATGTTACATGAAAATTTAACATGTTATAGCTGTCTCTTACAAGCTATCGGCATTTATTTAAAACTTGTATCTGAATCTTCTACATCATTGCTTTAATAAGTGTTTACATGTGATTATTTGCAATCTACTCAATCCTTGTGTCATTTAATATTCCAATTGAAAATTTGTACTTAAAAAAGATTTTCATTTGTTCATCTCCTTTTTAATCAGATGGCTATTGTTGTAAGGTGCCACCAAGTGGGTCGAAATCATTGAAAACCTATGTGTAATGGAATGAAACACTGCATTCCTGCTATTATATTTTGAACCCATTGCTGTAGAAACTGTGAAATCTCACCGTTCATTGAACTCTTCATCTGGGTGAAGCTATTCCTTTTTCTCACTGACCTTCTGCTCTACCAACGACAGTACCCTTTTCCAGGGTTCTGGTTTCTTTTGATGTCCAAAATAGCTTTAAATACCACATGTCATCAGCATTCAGTAAAATTAATTGGCAGCATTCAGGATATAATTCTTTACACCACCTTTATATATTCTGGTTTTGCATATTGTAAATGCCCTTTTCTATTTATAGGGTCCTCCTGGAGCGACAGGGTCAGAGGGAAGACAAGGTGAAAAAGGTGCTAAGGTCAAGTATACTTTAAGAGATTATGTTTTAATAACTTGGATGTAAATTGGACAAGACATGTTTTACTATTTTTGAGAAAAGAATAAGGTGTGTTTTCTCATTGCTTATATGTCTTTTTCTCAAACAGGGAGAAGCAGGTGCTGAAGGTCCTTCTGGAAAAACTGGTCCAGTTGGTCCCCAGGGCCCAGCTGGCAAATCAGGTCCAGAAGGCCTTCGCGGTATTCCTGGCCCTGTGGTGAGTATCTGTGCTCTGAGATTCTGTGTCTAAAACATTTTATTCCCGAAAATTCTGATTAAAAATATTTATGTTAGCAATTCCTCATAAATTTTATATGAATTTTCTTTTTGTCTTGATATTTTTAACTGGGAAATCATTAAAAGTATCATAAAATCAGATAATCTTCCAAATATTTAAGTATGTCATTTATGTAATGCTCACATGCTAAAATTCCAGCTTGTCAATGAAAAACTAGAAAATATGTTCTAAGAGTAAAGACTATAAATGCTTATATTTATACATTGGGAAAAGCCACAAAGACATATTTGTGGATGTTCTGCAGCTGGTGAAATTCATAGGAGACATTTGTTTTTTTTCTTTCATGCACCTCCATTTTTTTCTTTAAAAATTTTAAAAAATAATTATTTGCTTTATTTTCCCTTTTATATTTTTGAAAAATCAATCATGATTATTTTCTGTAGGGAGAACAAGGGCTTCCTGGAGCTGCAGGTCAAGATGGGCCACCAGGACCTATGGTGAGTATTATTTTTTCTGTGATTTAACAAAAGATATTATTGAACTGAAATTGTTAATAAAGTTTTAGCTTATAAATTGGATTATACTTTAAATATATTCAGGCAAATATATTACTCAATTCCAATAAAAATGTAATCCTAACTAGAAGGTACTTGGAAAATATTCTCTTTGATAGAAGTCCTGTTGTACATTATGTCCATTGGATAGAAAAGACTATTTTCATTCTGAATAAAATGCTGCTGATGGAGCAGCCAGTTCTTTCCCTAATGGGGACAGTTCTCTAGAATCAATGCAATTACACTTGGCTTCCTGGAACTTCATTTAAAAGAGTCGTGTTGGCACAAGTGTATGGTGATGCCTTGACCAAATGAACTGTGCTCATGTGTCAGGTGGGTCAAAAAAGAAAACACTAAATTCCACTGATGATGAAATTATAATTATTATGACACCAAAGCCATGGTAATTATTGTAAACTCTCTCTTCACACAGCATACTTGATACCTGCAACAAAGCATTATATTTTACCTCAAATACTGCTCAGATGCATGGAGTTTATTGTAGCGTACAAGGCTATGCCTACTACAAAAATACTGCCCTGTAAAATCAATTAGTTACCTGGTGATGATTTGTTAATGTTATTAAGTAATGTGTGTTTTTCAAGTCAACTAAGACATCTATTTTACTATGAAGTTTTTACCAGAATGAAAAGGAGCGTATCATGACTATCAACTCTGACACTAGAGTCCCTGAATTCAGTCATAAGCCCTGCCACTTACCTGCTGCATTACTTTGGGGAAAGTGGCTCAACATAAGGCGACTCATCTATAAAAAGGGCATATTATTAGCATCTATCCCATAGGACTTCATGACAATAACTTGTGTTAAATGGAGAGAGTGTTATATTCTATCTCATTGGGTACTTGGTTAAGCAGTTTTTGGTATCCAGATCATTGCTTGATATTATTAGGTACCCGATACAGATTTATTAAATACATTAATTGAATACTTACCAAAGTTTTTGAAAAATAAATTGGTTTGCTTTGCTGGCAAAGTAACTAAAACTGACCTCCGTTATCCATGTGTACTGTCAATAAACATCTTTGCAATGTAAAGCTAATGAAAGGGAAAAGTACAATGAACAAGATACACACTGCAACCGAGTCGAGGGGAAGGAGCTGGCTATGTTAATAGGGGGTCTCTTCAATTCCGTCTTCTTTGTATTTCAAATTTATGAAAATTGTTAAAGAAGTCAAAGTGAGAGTGAATTGAAGATAAAAGGTGGGAGGCAAGGCTGATTAATGAAAGTGTTAAAACTAATAAGAGCTTTCATTAGTCTCTGAAATGTTTCATAGGAAGAGATATCTGTTCCATGACATACTTGCCTTCATTAGATGTGTATTTTCACATCCACATCCAAGTATACACAGGCCTCAGCTTGCTTATCACTGGAATTTTGCATCCACCTGCAGGTTTCTAGAAGCAATACAGAATTTTCTACTAAAACTTTGCAGGTCATCCAAAGTCACAGAGACATCCCTTTTCCTTGAGTCTTAACGATTATTTAGCTTTTCAATAAACACAACTCTCCTCATTATTCCATATTAGCAACTAGGAATTCAAATAGGACAAATAGGGCAATTGAATTCTGTCTCACAAAGCACCCATTACCCACCTAATGATTTGATATGACCTTCTGCAGAAGAATGCCTATTCTTGTCAATATCACACAAGTTTAGATGTAATATAGTATTTCCTTCTTACTTTAAAAAACTTTGTTTATCATGATAAGATTACTGTACTTATACAAGGGTCCTTCAAATATTTTCTGCAGAAAGAAATATTCAATTATCTTTTAATTTCACTTTTCCAACAGTTTTTTTCAAATCTATGCATATATGCAATCATTCGATTTAGATATTTAATATATGGAACTGAATGTTGATGAACAGTTCATGTGAAACATAAAGAAAAACTAGTTACAATAATATGACTACATAAAGTATTGGAATTTTTTCGCTTTTTTCGGCAAATTTCAAATGGGAATAAGAGAATATTTTTAGTAGTAAGAAAAGTAACTAATTAAAAGTAGCTAAACTCTACCCACTGATGCAAAGATAAAAGAACATAATTTAATCATTTAAAAAATAAATATTGTTTGATGTTATATTTAATTGGTGTGTTAAAGCTTTTATTTTGCTTATATATTTTATTTTATATAGTTTGCATATCTATTTTATTTTATATAGTTCACTTATATATTTTATTTTATATAATTGAAAAAATAACGAGTCTTTATCTCTAGACAAGTTTACTGTAGCACTATCATTCCTATCATTATTATTCCTTCATTTCAAAAACCAATACACAAAATATCTGATAACATTTTATTTCAAATCATGGAAGCCTGAATTGAGTAGAATAGATTATTGAAGTCTGGTTTTTTGGGTTTTTTTAATGTCTTCCTGGAAACAAGGTTTAGATGGTTAGCATTGCATAATGATTAAACAACAAAGATTTAAACCACAAAGCATTGCTTTTTCACCAAATGAAATATTATTTTATAATTTGGCTTTCTAATAAAGTATAGGCCTGCAATTTCTTTAAACCTTAATACACTAGAGTTTTGAGATGTATATCAAAGTAAATCTTCTCTAAAGTATAATACTGCAGGGAAAATGTTTGATTGTGTATTCTAGATGGTTAAGATGTATCATCCCTGTTTTCCTTTTTACTTTATTACTTATGAATTATGGATTTCCCTAGAGTGTTTCAATTTACAAAATCCTAAAGAAGAGATAGAAAATATGTACACTGTACTTGAATTAACAATTTCATATGCAAAGCTGATGCTTTTGATCTGTTTCAGGGTCAGAGGTTTATTTAAGACTGTTATCAATATCAGAACTTTACCAATTTATTTTTCCAGCTGATGAAAGTGATAAAAAACAGAGCAGTTTGGCAAATTCTTTCTTAAATATAGTTTAAAATTTCATAAGCTTTTATTAGCTTAGGGGAATTCAAGCTCATTTCCTCCAACTCCCTCCTGAATAATACTTAAATAGACAATTTTAGAATGTGTTACAAATATAAATAAGATCTAGTAGTATATATTTCTCATTAAGCCAGAGAATTAAAATTCCTAGTCTTTTTTTTTTCCATTTGAGCTGATACTATTAAAATCAGCTAAAAAAGCTGAGAGCTATTGACCCAAAGCCTATCTAAACCGAATGGTAATCATAATTACTCTTGGTGTTATGTCCCACTATTTATGCAGTGTTTTGATCTGTCTGTTTCATTCTTTCTCACAATACTATGACCGTGTTCTGATTAGAACACTTCTGTGGATAGACTCAGATAAAATAGATCATTTATTCAAGATTACCCAACCAATGTGTGGTAGATGTGAGCCTGTGAGGGAAACAGTGATTGGAATAGTGATGACCTGCCAGCAACATCCTATCAATTCTTTCATTTGCAGTAAAAGTTCTGCAAAGTGTATCACATGCCAGGAAGAGGTGGAATACAAAATCAGAAGTTGAGAAAGAAAAAAGACTCATCTTAGTCTCATATTCTTCATCCACTATCTTTTATTTCATTTTCCACAACTTTTTTAAACACCTGTGCATATTTATTATACATAGACATTAAATTCTAATTTTAACCATCATTCTTAAATGGTCTGTGCTACTGGTATATTATTGTTTAATGCAATTACCTTTTTGATAGTTATATCCTATAATTTCTTTTCTTTCTTCTTTTAAAAATCTTATCACTTGAACATGTAGGCTTTGGTACTTACTGTGCCAGTGACCTTGAGAAATTATTTGTTTCATGTATATCATTTCATATCATTTTATTACACATATGCTTTTGAGCAATATTCTTTTATCCTAATTGATGAATAACTATTCTTTTCTGATGAGAAAAAAGAAATATTATAAATCCTTTAAATTATAAAAGTGTAAAAATAATAGAACAAAATAGGTAACATTTTAATATAACATAAGCACTATTTTTCTGCCATTCAGAAGTGCCTATTGGTTTAACGGGATTTGAACTTTGAACAAGAGCACTGACTCTCAAATGTTAGTTTACATCAGACCTGTAGACAGACTGCTAGAGGTCAACGCCAGGATTTCTGAGACAGTTCCTCTGGTTGAGGACTGAGAAGCTGATGCCGCAGCATATCAGTTTGAAGAGAGGCCAATCCTCCTGATCTGCAACTCCACCTGGAGACACACTAGCACAGTGTGTTACTTTACAAGATGAAAACCCGGCATTGAAAACAAGCAAAATAATTTTTCATAAAACTTTTATTTTAAACCGAGTGATTCATTTCTCATGTCCATTTCCTGCCTGAGGTAAAGTAAAGGAATATAATTTTATTTATATAAAAGAAAAACTATGTTGGATTGACAAAATTGAGAACTGATCATTTTCTTCTTAATAAAAGACTGTAATTAGACACATTCACATTTAAAATTGTCCTTATGAAGCAGGTTTGAAAAATTCACGGGAAAATTCCATTAGCCTAAACTTCACTATGCCATGAACTTTTTGAAGCGCTTTCTTACTTCTAGTGGAAAGAAAATTGTTTATTATATTTCTATTACAGTGATGAGTGGAAATTTTCCACTTACATTTTCTATCAATGCTTTGAGACTATCAATTTTGTAGGTAACAAATTTATTCATGAAATAAAGAAATATAAATATGTGGTATTGTTCAAATACTATTGCTACACAAGATTTGTGTACGACACTACTCTTACTGTTATCTGGTATTCATGATTTCAGTGAAAAGTACTCAAGAAACTGAAGAATAGAAAAGACCCATCTATTCAATCTGACAGTTGCGAAACAAATATCATACTCTTTACTTTCAGAACATAGTCCTGGGACTGTAGGTTATGCATTGGGCTGCTAATCACAAGGTCACAGCATCAAATCCATTAGCCTCTCCAATTGAGAAAGGCAAGGCTGCCTCCTCCCATAAAGATTAACAGTCTTGAAAACTCACAGAGACATATAGGGTCACTATATAGCGTCACTGTACTATATAGGGTTACTGTAAGCCAGAATCAACTCTATGGCAGTGAGTTAGTTTGCATATAAGAAAATGGAAATTCGTTGGTTAGCTTAGTTGCAGTATTTTTAAGAAATAGAGTCTGACCCAATTCTAGGTCTATACTATTCTGAAGTTATGTGCTTCAGATTATACTACAGTTCTTGCGTGGGATACAGGTTCTTAACATTTGCAATTCACACATATCGTGTCTGGGAATCTAACCAGAAGTTTGGCATTTTGAAGCCACCCAGTAGCTCTGTGGAAAAAGGACCTGGCAGTGTCCTCCCACAATGATCACAGTCAAGAAAATCTTCAAAGGCATTTCTGCCCCGTCACGCCAGATCACTGTGGATCGGCACCAATGGCATAATGACGACGGCCTTATAGAAAATACAAACTGAAATAATTTGCTTTCTAAGTGCTATGTTCAAAATTATAGTTGAAATTGTAAATAAAATCATTTAATTCGATCAAAAGAATTCAAACTCCTAGAGAAACCAAATGAATACTTTGCTTTTGTTGTGCAGCGCCTTGTTATGGGCGGATGTGATCTACGTTTCCTAGAGTTGTCATGGCCCGGGTTTCCAGAGCCAAATACTTTCCAATCATCCGTTGGTGCTGATTACACTTCCTGCCACAGCGATTGCTGCAGTCCTGGTTTTCTTTTTGGTAATTTCAGAGCACGAATCTTCTTTTGTGGTGAAGCATGCCAATTTATAGATGAAAACATTTATTTAAAAAATTATTCATCTGAATCATTTCTGAATAAATTCATCTAAATAGTTGATAATGTATGTAATGGCATAGGACCAAGTTAGGTGTTAAACTCATTCAGAGACAATACAAATTAAAGTAAAAGGATAAATGCCTTGGCATTGAATTGTAAAATAAGAGGCAAACAAAGTATACTCTATTCATGGAAAAAGGAAATGTTCTTATTATTAAATGTAAAAATAATTTAGAGCAGAAATCCAATTCATGAACTGTGGGTAAAAATACCACCTAGGTAATTTCAGTAAGAAAAAGTTAATATTTCCAGATATCACAAGTTTCCGTAACAGCCAAAATGTTTAGTGTAAAACTCCAATCAGCACATATAAGTGAACTCTACATGTATTTAATGAATCAGAAAAACATTAAGATGCATATTTTTATAAAATTACTGAGGAATTAAATAATAGTTTAATTTGTAAATGCATTTGATTTAATTGAAGAACCTTGGCCTGAGTCATAAGACTTTGGTTGTAGTCCTTGTATTTTTTGTTGGCAAGCATTCTAATCTCACAAGGTTAACAAATTTTATGAACTTCTGTTAAAAGTAAAGGTAAGAGTGTTGCATTTGATCTTTTCCAAAGCCAATCAGTAGATGGTAGTTCCTGGAAATGTGTAGCAGGAATAACTAATCTGATACTCTTCGCGCTGTTAACTAGAGACACAATCAGTAGGTCTTCTTGACCCTTCTGGTATCCTTGATTTTTAAATATTCAAAATCATTAAGATAAAGAGAAAAAAATCAACGAATTCTAGCATAGATAAATAAGGACAATCAAATGTACGGGTTGCTGATGTCATTTCTGGCTTTTAAGTAGGCAACTTCATCTAAAGCTTTCAAGAAGTTTGGGTGTTTTTTTCCCCAAATCCCCTCTTTCCACAGCAAAAGGATGGGTGCTCTCTTGGCCTTTCCTTCTCATTCTCTCTCTACACACACACACACACACACACACACACACACTCACTCACTCACTCATTTGTTTGTCTTATAGCATTTTTGAAGTAACCTTTGTGATAGCTAAGTATTACTTGATGTTTTCCTAACATTGTAATAATAAATGGTAACATAATTTGGAGTTTGGAACCGGAAATCTGACTTGAATCCCAGGTTTCAATGGCAAAGTCAGTGACACACTTCTCACAAGTCAACCAAAGCAGCTATCTACTTCATTTGAATTTCTGTGCTTTAGAAAATGTAACATATCACTAAATTAATTTGTAATCTATCAGGTAAGCTGTTACTGTGGTTAGTATATTGTACTCTTAGGTTATATCTCTTTCCACAAATAATCACAAAAGATGTCTCTTTTCCAGTGGGTACTAAATAAGAACTTAGTGCACATTTTGAAAATTGATGTAGACTAACAGAATACAAAATCCTAGTTTTAAATTGAAATATATGGAGTTTTATTATTCTGTAGAATATTAAACAATAATTCTTTGAGATATAGTGTTTATGTATATGCAAGGGTATAGTGTAGAAAATATTTGGGTAAAATGAATGTATAATTCCCCAAGATTAGTTGTATATTAAATGTCAAAGTTTTTTTTAAAAGATTCTTTACGGAAAAGACTGTCACCCTTTAAATGGGGCTCAGAGCAGGAATTAACTGGAAGTACAGTTGGGAGATTGTTTTCTTCTAAAATTAGTGTAATTAAAACATTCTTTTTAATTGAAGAGTCATAAAAAGCATAACCATCTGTACTGTAATATTTACTTCATCAAATTATTCAGTATTATGATTACAGATGAAGCCACACATTTTAAGCATATACATTTATTTTGAATCCTGAAACAAAGTAATAGTAATATTGTTAACTATTTTAACTCTATCATATTTCTAAAGTCAGACTAACATCAGTGAATGATTCTTTTTTTTTTTTTCAATCATTTTATTAGGGGCTCATACAGCTCTTATCACAATCCATACACACATCAATTGTGTAAAGCGCATTTGTACATTCATTGCCCTCATCATTGTCAAAATATTTCCTCTCCACTTAAGCCCCCGACATTAGGTCCTCATTTTTCCCCTCCCTCCCCGCTCCCCCCTCCCTCATGAGCCCTTGATAATTTATAAATTGTTATTTTGTCATATCCTGCCCTGTCCGACGTCTCCCTTCACCCACTTTTCGGTTGTCCGTCCCCCAGGGAGGAGGTCACATATAGTTCCTTGTAATCTGTTCCCTAGGAAAGTGAATGATTCTTTAAATCAAACCTATATTGCTATATAGTATACTTATGATATATGTTTATTTTTTCTCATAATATAGGGACCTCCTGGTTTACCTGGCCTCAAAGGAGATCCTGGATCCAAGGGGGAGAAGGTAAGAAAGAAAGAAAGAAAGAATTATGTATGTTATTAGAATTCTGATACTCAAATAGCAGAGGCAAGAACTGTTGCACATCAACATTACTCAAACACAAAAGTTATCCCTTTGACATTCTAACTATGGAAAAAATCTGTTAATACTCAGTTTCTCAGATGTATTTAGAAAAGGGAAAAAAAACAAAATAATAGTGAAAAGTGGACCAAAATTTAAAGGGTTTTACTAAAATTACTGTTCAGAAAATAAACTGATGAAATAATAATCTGTATTATGTTTTTAAACGTTAAAGTTTATAAAAATCATCAGAAAAATACCTAGTAAGATGGCTTTCCAGAATGAATGCTGATATCTTCAAACTGAAGAAAATCAACTATATTTCAGAATGACATTAATGCTGGGTGGGTTATTTTTATGCCTATAAATTATCTTTAAATATTGGAAAAGCTCTGAAAAATAAATCATTTCATATAAAATGATATGGTTACTGAAGTAATTATCTGGAGAATTTGTTGTTTTGTTATTGTTGCTAATATTACATATGATCCTTCTTGGTCTATTAGTTGAAGATATTTGCTTTACGTAAAGGAAGCATGCAAGATATTTTAGAAAGTATTTCATTTCATACTATGTCCTATGGTTAATAAGACCTCATTTAATGTAATTCTTAAGTAATCTTGTTATGTGAGGGACCCTAAAATCTTAGTTGAAAAGGTTGTTTTCAATTTTGTAAATCCACATTTTAAGTCTTCATACTTTAAGAATTAACATTTTAAGTCTTCATACTTTAAGAATTAACGTGCAAAGATTGTGTGATGAGAACGTAATTAGAGAGTTGTATTTTACATATTATTAAAGTTGCTTTTCCTTTTCTTCTAAAGGGCCATCCTGGCTTAATTGGCCTAATTGGCCCTCCTGGAGAGCAAGGTGAAAAAGGTGACAGAGGGCTCCCAGGGACACAAGGATCACCTGGCGCCAAGGGAGACGGGGTGAATAAAGTCTCAGTGGTTTTCCTCTTCCTTTCCAATGCTTCTTCCAGTTCTCTCTCTATCACAGCCTCCGCACATGTCCCGTAAGCATGGAAAAGTATAGCAGCTCTATTCAAATCTCCTTAAGCTCAACTCTCCTGAAATTTTCAAACATCAGCTTTTATGTAACCTCAAAGCAAATAATTACACATACATTTAAGTTAGAAATATTAAATTATAGTTTGATAATTAATTATGCAAACATTTAGTAAATGTTAACTCTATACAAATTATAATTAAGAGGCCTATAGGGCTATGAAAGTATATAAAATGAACTATTTATGGACATTAAGGCAAAGGTAATCAAAATTTCAGTTATTTTGGAAATATTATTTCTAAGAGATGCAGTGGAAATACTTTAGGCTATTTTAAGTATTTTTAATTCTCCTAATTTCACCATGTTTTGTTATTTTATAGAACAGTGAAGAAGTTTTTAAGATATTTGATCATAATTGTAGTATTTTCTCTGCAGGGAATCCCTGGTCCTGCCGGTCCCTTAGGCCCACCTGGACCTCCTGGCTTACCTGTGAGTACAGTAGAGAATCTAAGGTGGAATTAATTTATAAATATACTAATCGACACAAATTGCATTCATTTTAATCTCTACTCTGGCCTTTCCATTTTCCAGGGTCCACAAGGTCCAAAGGGTAACAAAGGCTCTACTGTGAGTATTCGTCTCTTTGGTGTTTTACTTTTTCCATATTTAGTCAGTGTCTTATTCATGACTTTTGGCTTGTTCATTTCTCTTTCTCTTTCTAACAGGGCCCTGCTGGCCAGAAGGGAGATGGTGGTCTCCCAGGGCCTCCTGGACCTCCAGTAAGTGCATGTTAATGAATAGTCCAACCCTACTAAGAATCAGAGTTTATCCTCAAACCAAAACCAACAGTGTTAGTCTGGGTAGATTAGGGAAACAAATACGTGGACACACGTATGTGAAAGAGATTTGTATACAAGAACAATTGAACATTGAGAAAACATCCCAGTCCAGTCCAGATCAAGTCCATCAGTCGGATATTAGCCCAGATGTCTGATGTCAATCTATAAAGTCCTCTTCAGACTCACGAAACACATGCAATGACGGCAAATGCAGAAGATCACAGGCCAGAGGGTAGAAAGTCTTTGGATCCAGCGCCATTGGAAACATCTCAGGGCTGGCAGGGGTCTCTGCATCAGGGTGGGTCCATGTGTCTTGTCAGCTGCCATGTCTCCCAGGGTGTGAACAGTCTCCCACCTCCAAGGAGGAAGTACCGATGATTTCCCCGAATTCTCGGGAGAAGGCCATGTCCACACAAAAGCCTCACTGGCTATGATCCGATTGACAAGCTAGACTCCACCCCTACACTCTTAATCCTCAAATTGATAAACAATTATATAACCAACACCGCAACCCACTGCCATCGAGTAGATTTTGACCCATAGCATCCCTTTAGGACAGAGTAAAACGACGGCCTTGGGTTTATAACTCTGTAAATCTTTAGGAGAGGAACTGTCTCATCCTTTTCCTGAAAGTGACCAGTCATATTCTAACTGTGGACCTTGTTCCACCAGGGATCCTACCTAAGTTTATAGTGCAGAGCAAAAGTGTACAATCAAAGGTACTAATTTGTAGAAAACAGCAACTCTATGCCATGACTTGCCTTTAATTGGTTTCACTACTTTAAATATAAAGATGCCCTAATTATACATTTATAATAATAGAGTACTTACTAATTTTTAAGATATTAATTTTTATGTACCACTTAATGAAATTAACTGATTATATGACACAATGATATATTTATATCTGTCACTAGAAATAAAGAGAGAATTTCAGATGCATGGTACTTTATCCCAGAGTATATCATGATAATGGTAAAAGCAATAGTTGGTACTATCTATTAATACTCATATTGATCAGGCTTTATTGATTGGATTACTGCAAGGTCATAGCAAAAGGATGCAGATCTATATGAAAAGAAATTTTAGTCTAGTTCTTTGTTTTTAAGTGCTTCTATGTGGTTTGATTATTTAAATGACTTATATCTTGCAAAGTGTACAGTGAAGTTTGCATTGTTTAAGTTTGTTAAAGTGTACAGATTAAAGCTGTTAATATTTGAACCAATCTATTGTTTTATAAAATAATTAGTATCAAGTATATGAAAAACTCAATGAAGAGGAACCTTTGAATGCTTCTTTACCTGTCTGAGCCTTGAAAATCTTGGTGTTGAGAGAGGGATGTAAGTGAATGTAAATGAGGATTAACTAATAAATAGCAAAGTGATGTATAGAACATATGCTTATACAAATCAGGCTTGTATCACTAGTGAAGATAGCCAGCAATCCATGGCTATTATCGATCCCAACGCATTGTGGTGTGTCAAAGTTGAATTTTTCTCTATGGTTTTTATAATATTAATTTTGTAGTAGATTGCCAAAACTTATTTTTGAGTATATCTGAAGGGACTGAAACTTAAATCCATTTGGTTGGCGGATGAGTATAACTTTCTGAGGGCCACTTCAAAAAGTTCATGGGAAATTTGTGTGATTCCTTAATTGTATTTTTCCATGAGGTTTTCAAAGCCTCGTTGTCTATTCACCATTAACACTATAAAGAAAGGACAAGTGTTAGTTGTTTTTTTAAGCAACTGAAATGGAAAAAAAAATAAAAACTATATGTATGTGTAGGTTTATAGAGAAACACACATGATTGGCATGTGCATATATAAAGAATGAGTCTTGAAGAGACATTGGTTAAGGTGGCGGGTTGCTATCTATAAAGTTGGCAGTTTGAACTCACCAAATGTTCTAAAGGAGAAAGACGGGGTGGTCTCCTCTGAAACCTCCCAACCCCGAAGCCTTCCAGCTCTGTGGAGTAGTTGTGCTTTGACCTGTGGAGCCCAGGAGACAGATTTGATTTCAAAGCAATTGGTTTGTTTTTAATATACAAAATATATATTGCACTATTATTCTGTAGCTACTAAGGAAAAAAATTAAACAGCCAAACCAATGATTATTTCTCATAATAATGATGTAACCTTTACCCACTAAGATCAGCAGAATTTTTACTTCAGAAACATGTTCACACAGATTCTCTCTTTCACAGGGTCCACCTGGTGAAGTCATTCAACCCTTACCTATCTTGTCACCTAAAAAAACAAGAAGGCATACTGAAAGCATGCAAGCAGATGCAGGTGACAATATTCTTGATTATGCGGATGGAATGGAGGAAATATTCGGTTCCCTGAATTCTTTGAAACAAGACATCGAGCACATGAAATTTCCAATGGGGACGCAAACCAATCCAGCCCGGACGTGCAAAGACCTGCACCTCAGCCACCCTGACTTTCCAGATGGTACGTGAATAAGACAGGGCAAGCACAGGCACCAAGCTTCGGCCTTCCTCCACTGCCTTGTCAGCCCATTAATTCCAGTGCAATGTTTAATATAGTCCCTACATAAATCTAAGCAATGATAATTAGGTCCAGCCATGGAGACTCAAGACAGGTAATTTATGCTGTGTGCAGTTCAAAATCTGTATTTCGTATCTGTAAAATTGTATCTGTAATGTAAGGTTTCATTAAATTATGGCAAGATTATTTTTGATTAACTAGAGTTAATGCAAATATAGTTTGCATGGTAATAAATATAAGCATGAACTTTAAGTATTAGCACAAATGATTGTCACCCTGTACCTCACTGCCCTCAAGTTGTTGCCTGTTCATAGTGACCCTCCGGGACAGGTAGAACGACTCCTGTGAGGCTCCGAGACTGTAAGTCCTTCGGGGAGTAGAAATCTCCATCTTTCTCCTGCACTACCCTACAGTTATAATTTGTATCCTGAATTATTTTAAGCTGAAATAAGTAAAATTGATAGAGTATTTGCCTTTTCATTTTAATGGTAATTTGGTGAGCAGAAAATTTTAAAATTGGAATCATTTGGGACAAAAAGATATTCTTAATCAACAGCTGAGAACATTTTACTTAGTAATAATTGGATTAATTTACTGAATGGTTACTATTTGACAACAATGGGTGGTGTGACCATAAAGAGTGATATAGAGGTTAAATGTTGCCCTGAAAAGTACAAGATTAGCCATTTAAAACTACCAGTGTGCCATGGGAGAAGGACAGGACCATCTAGTCTCATACAGAGTTACAGCTTCAGAAACTCAGGGAAGCAATTCTACCATGTCCTATCGGGTTGCTATTAGTTGACATCAACTAAATGGCAATGAATTCTTTTACTTTTAATTACATTCCCATTGTTTAGGGAAAGAAACAGTTTCTGGTATGCTGGTGGTTGACCCATTCATTTATGAATTAGCAAAATACATATCTTTATCTAATTTATAATCTCTTCTTCATTAAGAATATTATATTTCATTGTCAAGGTATGGGATGTTATAATTATATAACTGAGTGCACAAAGTAAAATTTAATACATTTCAGAAACAGCATTGTAAGGGAAAATATAAATTATTAAGAAATATTTATAAATTAATATGTAGGTCTTTACATTTGTAATACATTTATTTGGAAAACAAAATGCTTAGTGTTTTATTCATTCACTACTTTTTAGGAAAATATCACTTTTAAGTGGCACTATGTATGAAGAAAAATTAGATTAATTAGGTTGTATCTGTGGCAGACAATTTCTTATTTCAATAATGAATTCAGATATCCTTGATCTTTAGCAAATTCTTACTGGGTTATGTGAAATTCCAAAAATAATACCAAGACTCTTATAACCTATGTAATATGATTCCAAGATATTTTCCCTAGATGAGAAAAGGATTAAAAACTAAAGTAAATTATTCTAGCACATGGTGAAATTATGAAATAATATAATGAATTATGAACCTCATCACTCTATTGGGGCGGGGGACATTATGAACTTTGGTAATTAATTTTGGTGTGGAGTGTAATTCTCAGTTGTTTGCAGTGTCTAACTAATTTCATTATTTATCTGTGTCAATAAATTAAAGAATAATTATAAATATTACTTTCTTATTTAAGGAATTCTGGTGACACTTGGATAAGCATTTGGCTCCTAACACCAAAGTTTGCTGTTCAAACCAATTGGTTGTCCCATGGAAGAAAGATGAGGCTAACTACTCCTGTAAAGATGTATAGCTTCAGAAATATTTTATAGGCTCTATATGAGTTGGGATCAACTCTATGGCAGAGGGGTTATTTGCTTTCTTGGGCAGGACCAAGTTAGTTTGGGTTTGGTTGGTTGGTTTTCATGCATCGATGAGGGGAAGGAATAAAGCCCCCAAGTTGCTGCTGCTCTAGTGGTGGGGAGGAGAAAAACATTAATCAGTCAAAGGTGTTAATAGCAACTTATTGTGATAGATATGACAAAAGAACGATGGGCTTAGATAAATCAACTTTGAAAAAATAAAATGTTGATACTTGACATGGTGATCTTTAATCTGCCCCTTAAAGAGATGGTCACCTTTGCTAAGAATCCAGAGGATATTCCAGGGAACTTTAAAAGCATTGAAAAAGGCCGAAACTTGTTGTTTTCAAGCATCCCAAAGAATATTACTGTGGAAGAACATTAGACAGCAAATTGAAGAGTCCGTTGAAATGCAGTGAAAGGGAGCAATGTGCAGTCAGCTTGATCAGGAATCTGTTCCAGTGATCAGGAAAGAGCGGAGGTAGGAGTGACAGCGATGTGGACATAGGACTAGGAGATGAATTCCTTAGAGATGTATTGAGTATGTTCTACACATGATACCAAACCACTAATAATGATATTGGAACAAATCATCTTGGAGGAAGTACAGTCAGCATCTACTTAGCCCTGACAATGATGAGTCTCCTCTCATCTAATTTGGATACATTATCAGTAGAGCACAGTCCCTGGACAAGGAATCTCATGCAAGCCAGGTAAAGTAGAAAGTCACAGAAAACAAGGAAGGCCTTGTTCCATTATTTGGTGGTAACAAGGTGTACAGATACAACAGTAGTTCTGAGGACAGCACTGGACATGGCAGTAGGTATTTGAGGAACTGGAAGAAACTTGACAGCACATAACAACAATAACAACAGCAACACCAGCAAATTTACTACCAGACCTATAATTACAAACTAATGCAAAAGTATACTCCCAAACCAAATCAAACCCATTGGCATTGTATTAATTCTGACCCACAGCTACCCTCTGTAGCTTTGGAAAGGCTGTAAATCTTTAGGGGAACACACAGCCTCACTTGCTTAAAATATACTACCTCTACCATTATTACAGATGAATAAATCGGGAATAAAATATACTGTTTCTTGTGATCAAATTACTTAAATAGTAGATAATGCATGGAGGATTTGAGGTCAAGTGTAGCTGATACAATGTGCTGAAATTTATTACATGTGGCTAATTAGAAGGTTAACATTAGAGGAGGTAACATTTAGGTTAACATCTAACAGAAATAATCCTGTCAGAGTAAGAAGAAGACCCAATCCACAAGAAAAAGAAAACAGTTTCAGTCAGACAAGATAAAGAATCTCTTGTTAAATGTTCAAACACTCTCTAATGTCTATAAAATATGAAAAGAATTCATGTGGAACAAAATCTATTAATAATCTTTTTCCCTACGTTCTTGTTCAACAACTCGACCAGCACATTTCATTTTTGACTAATGGACTCGTATACATTTGTTCTTACCTTTCAGGTGAATATTGGATTGATCCTAACCAAGGTTGTTCAGGAGATTCCTTCAAAGTTTACTGTAATTTCACATCTGGTGGGGAGACTTGCATTTATCCAGACAAAAAATCGGAGGGAGTAAGTACCACTCTGTTTGGGGGGGTTACTGTTGACAGTTCCTGCCACGTTTTTGCAATATTGAACGAAACAGTAAAATTATACTGTCATATATTCATTTATTTGCTTTTCTTACATGGTAATTAGAGCACTTCATTTGCATAAACATGAATAAGTGATGCTCAGAGTTAACAAATACTCTCCTCCTTTATTTTTACCCAGATGTATTCTTCACGCACCTGCTTGTTCTCTCACATTCTATATCTTTCTACGACACAGCACAGCTGATTATCAAATCATCATGCAGCTATAAGTATTCTGCCGTCCACTTGCCACATGGTAGAATGTACAGCTGCATAATCTGCTCCAATAGTACAGTTTATAGGGAATTAATATTTTATATTTAAGAATTTATGTTCAGACATATTTTCATAATATTAACTATTTAAAGGAAATTCCTTGATTGCCTCACAGGAGCATCAGTATATCTTTATAGCTAAATGTTATATTGTTAAAAGGTTATATCTTTAATGCTAAATGCAAGTCATTGGTATAAGAAAATAGTTTTCACTAGCATGATTATATTGTCCAAATATTCAATAAGTGAAGAATTTTATCCTCATTTGTATTCATATAATAAAATTTGTTCTAAGTAAGCTGCTCTGTGCATACAGTCACAGAAATGCCTTACGGCAAAATGCGGTGGGTGCTTTATGTGTGGCGAATACAGGAGCAAAGTTACGTGTGTGATTACAGGGAGGGGGTAGGGCAGGCGGCAGTGACTTTCATCTCCCAGCACAGTTTGATGTGTGACGAAGTATAGTGATTGGTGTCTACGGAAAACAGAAAAAGACTTCCCTTTACACGTATAACTAAAATGTCAGAAAATACGTGTGTGTGTGAAAGAGAGAGAGACACACACTGAGCGAGAGGATGGGGGTGGGGGCGCTTCAAAAAGTTTGTGGGAAAATATCATGTTTCATTATATTGTCCACAAGCTTTTAAATCCTTCAAAAAGTGGTCCAATCAAAGCTGGTTTCAGAAGGCCTTTGCTGTGTCAGGTAAACTCCAGGGGAGAGGGCAGCTCGGAAGGTTCTGGAGAATGTCTTTCCTGGAATCCCAAAGCAGGCAGTTTTACAGATTCTCTGGAAGGATACAAGACAATCACTGGAGCTCACTATGATGAAATGTTAAGAAAATGTGAAAACTGCCTAGCTGGAAAAATGCGATGCAAGTTCATGCTGAGGCATTGTTTTACTGCACAGATGCCCCTGCTCACTCTTTGAGAGCATTTAGGCCTGACCTACAAGAATTTTATTGATAAATTTTAACCCATCTACCCTCCAACCTTTAGACATCTTTTGTTCCCATAACTCAAACATCATTGAAAAAGAAATACAATTTGAGTCCCTGAAGTATGTCAAAAGAGTGCTGACCTTTTTTCCAGGGAACCATTAATGAGAGAGAAACACTACCTTCAACAGTGTATGGACCTAATGGCCAATTTGTGGAGAAACAATGTCTTCCCATTTTGAATTTTTTGCTTAATGAGGTTTTGCAGCAATCTTTTTGACTTAACCTTATATAACAGTAATGTATGTATGTCTTTTTGTATATCAGTAGTATATGCATACACACACAAAGAGGATTCAAAAGTGCATGGAAAAAATGAAATGAAAAGATAATAGTTTTTTTCTCCGCTAACTCTGGAAAACACACACATGCACACACACACACACACAAACACACGCGTGCTCGCAAAGAGACACATGACATTATGGCTGCATTTAGTTATATGAAATAGGCATTCTTAAGCTCCCATTCAGGAAGTACCATTGTACTAGGTGGAGTTTTGCTATTCTATTGCTGTATTTATAATATTGTTCATATGGTTTATCTTCTTTCTAATTTTCTGGTATCTGCAACAGGTAAGAATTTCATCATGGCCAAAGGAGAAACCAGGAAGTTGGTTTAGTGAATTCAAGAGAGGAAAATTGGTATGTTATTTTCTCAGAAAGAAATTATTTATCTTGATTTTCATATGTGAGGCTCAAATTATGCACTAGTTTCAAATTGTGCAAATCTAAATTTTACAAATCAGAATCCGATTTGTTCTCTAGTTTGCTCTATCTATATCTATTGAATCAATCTTTTTTATTATTATAGGAAATGGAATTATAAAAACATCACTGAAAAAAATAAGTATTTTATTAGTGATGTGGTGTAGATATCAAAAATGATTATTACAAATAATATTATAGAATTGTTACCATTTAATATCTCTGACTCCATCTACTTTGCATTTTTTCTGCTTCATTTTAATTCACTTTTGTTCTCCCATAAAGAGTTTTGGAAAGTGCCTTGTCTTTGTTGATTTTTATATTGGAAATAGACTGGCCTTGTATTTATATACAGCACCAGTTTACTCAGTTGTTCTCTATTGATTTTCCAGAGATATTTTAAGATCAGATGATAAAATCAATGTCTTGTTCAAAAGCTATTTTAAAAGATGTATTGGTTCAAAATAATCTAAGTTGAATATATGCAGATTGAAATGTTTCCCATCTACTTTGGTGATTATTCAATCATTAATATCACTTTAAAATAATTTTATTTCAAGTGACAACCTTTGCACAATTATTTTCTCTATGTGAACCTACCAGTATAAATTAACTTTTTAGCAAAGTGGTCCACTTTATCATTTTAACTTAGATCTTTAATTATATAATATTAAATTACATAATAAATAGCCATGTTTCACTCCTGCCTGTGTATTAAAAAAACAAAACAAAAAACACCCAAACAGAACTGTGTGTGGTTTTTGTTTGTGTTTTAAAATTTTGTTTTGCTTTCCTAGGAGTCCCATTTCTAAATAGATTATTTTTCTCCACCCTCACAAGACCCATCTTCAAAGTGTTAGTAACATCAGTAAAATCACTTAGAAGACATAAGGTCAGAGTTAACCACCCTTCGACTGACTCACTCTATAAACTGGGTGACTTTTTTTTTCTTTCTTAAGGTTGATGTTCCAGCTGACCCCTACAGCTTCCCTCATAACTATTAAAATAATTTATCAAGATGATTGAGACAATATTCCATCAATTCCAATTAAGATGATTTCTTTCTATGGAGATAGAGCCATTATTGATTGAGTCAATAAATATTGACCATCATTGTCTGCAGAATTATCTCGATGCTAATGACAGAATGATGAACAAACACATTGTGTAAGCCGCGGGAGAACAACCGATAGCCGTGCTGAACCGTGTTTGCAGTCAGATTGTGTTAAGACTCATTAATTTCATTGACAGAGTAGAACTGCCTCAAATTGTTTCCTCAGCTGAAATTTTTGTAGGAGCGTATTTACAAATCCCTTACCAACGGAATTGATGGATGTGTTCCAACTACCACCTTTTAGGTTAGCAGCCTATAGCTTACCCACAGCACCATCACGCCTTCTTGTGCTGAAAGTGAGAACAAAAGGCCTCTGCTGTGTTGGCCCCTGTGATCGTTTTCAAGGATCCGTGGTAGTGCAATGGTACACATTGGACTGCTCACAGCAAGAGAAGCAGTTCAAAACCACCAATTGCTCTGAGGACATAGCGGGGCCCTCTGCTTCCATAAATAGTGACAATCTTGGCAATCCACAGGGCCAGTTGTAACCTGCTCTACAAGGTTGCGATGAGTTGGAATGGGCTCCGTGGCAGTGAGATATAATCGTTGTGGATACTGTAATAAATTACTCTCAACTGGGAGGTTTCCAACCGCAGAGATTTATTCCTTTATGCTTCTAGAGGCCAGACATCCAAAACCAGTTTCTCTTGAATGTGCTAACAGACACATTCAGCTACTCCGTCAGAGAAAGGCAGGACTTTCTACTCTCCTAAAAGCCCACCCACCGGGGCAAGGCTACCCCATCCTGCAGGGTCGCTATGAGTCAGAGTTGAGTCAATCACAGTGAAGACTCTATGCTTTGCCTCCTCTGATTGCTGTCGGCTACTGGTATACCTTGGCTTGTAGCAGCACCCCTATAATCTTTACCCCCATTCTCATCACTTTGTATTCTAAGTGTACTTGGTTTGCTTTCTACTGCCTGTCTCAATTTTCTCTCTGCATTTTCCCTGTAAGGACATTTAGTTATATTTGCCAAGATCCTTTTTCTGAATAAGGTAACATCCCAGATCTTAGGGGCTAAACCATAGACATATCTTTAAGGAGATCACCATTCAGCCCAACCCACTAAAAACGCAAAAGGAAAAGTGCAGGCACACATGAAAGTGTGAGGCAGGTAGACACAAGTCATGCGATTTTTCAGAAGGAGCGAACAAAAAGCACACAGCAACAGCAGCAAAGCAGCCTTTGAATTACACTGAAAGGCTCCGGTTTTCATTTTTTAAAACATATGCAAATATAATGAACCATTATTTGGAAACAAAAGTTTTATTCCTCTCAATAAAGTGACTTTTTCAAAGACAAACAACACTTAAATACTCCACCTGGAATATATTTCTACTTTACTAAAAATCATGCCCTTATCTGACATGTACATGTTCCTCGATTAAGCAGAAATAGATCTGTCTATATGCATTTAGGATCACAGTTTGCTGTCAACAGTGGTCTAAATATTTTATACGATAAAAGAGTAAAATAATCTTTAAATGCCTTCTTTATACTTTTATTCCCAGCTTTCTTATTTAGATGTTGAAGGAAATTCCATTAATATGGTGCAAATGACATTCCTGAAATTGCTGACTGCCACTGCCCGGCAAAATTTCACCTACTACTGCCACCAGTCAGCAGCCTGGTATGACGTCTCGTCTGGAGGGTATGACAAAGCCCTCCGGTTCCTGGGATCAAATGATGAGGAGCTGTCCCATGACAATAACGCTTACATCAAAGCTCTATATGACGGCTGTGCGGTGAGTACAGGCTCTGCTTGGCTTCCCCTTTCACAGAGAACAGATCAGCACGCCGGCCTCAGCTTAATCTGAAACCTGATTTCTTTCAAGAAATAAAAGTATATGGGTATTAACATTTGCTTAACTCAGAGATATGAACGTACTGAATATTGTAAAGATCTGATTTTCTCTTTCATGTACACATACAAGGGCATGCACAGTAATGAGCTGATACACAATAAATAAATAAATAGATAGATAGCTAAATAAGCAAACAAACAAACACACAAATAAATAAATAATCTCACTTTCAGCTAGTCGATTCCGACTCAGAGAAGCCTGGTAGGAGGCAAGGTGGCTTAGCAGACCATCAAGGGGGTTACAGATCACAAGGGTGGCAGTTCAAACTCACCAGCCTCTACAGGGGAAAAGATGAGCCTTTCTGTTCCTGCAAGGAGTTACAATCTCAGAAACCCCCCGGGGTAGTACTACTCTGTCCTAAAGGTTCCCTGCAAAACACACAATAGTCCCATTTGAAGCCATGCCAAAAGATAATCTGGAATCATTTGATAATTTTATGGAATTATTTCTGACATTTGGATGGCATTATAGGTAGTTATTCATCTGAGTCAAGAGATGAACACAAAACAAATAACAAATACAGAACACTACTCCATTGCCTCTTTGATCCATAATTCTAATCGAATAAATAAAAGAATCATTATGTCACCGATAATCTTACTCTTATGTTTGGGGCTTGCTGATTCGTACGATTATGCTCCAGTTTTTGTGGCCTAACATATTTTTTATTAGTTTTATTCTCTGACTCACTTCTCTTTTTTCCCCACATGTAAGGGAGTTCCCTGTGACACAATGGCCACCACTGTGGTAAATGCCATTGAGTTGTTTCTAATGTAGGGAGACCCAGGTGTCGAGGGACAGAGCTGGTTTTCAGGCTAGACCCCTAGGCAGCTGTGGGTGAGCTCACATTGCAATTGTTCAGCTAATAGATGAGCACCTAACTCTTTACACCTGTCACAGACTATAGGTTGATCCACTGAATACCTTACACAGCTCAGTGCTTCAGCCAATTACTGAGGCCGAGAGCAGCCATGGTTATAAATAAACAGATCCCTGCCCTGACCAAAATGAGGCAAAATGGCTATTACGGGAGCAAGAGATTATTGGGAGAGATTACCACTATAGTGTATTAGTAAATATTCATGAAGGTAATACATGGCAGAAATATTTTGAGTCTGACCCAATGCACTATAATTTCTATGCTGTGTTCAGTTTAATCATAATAAATAAACTACATTGTATCTAAAGAATAATTACAATGATAAGGGTACATTTAGAAGTATGACCTCCAAACCATTTTATTTTCATATTAAGTTGTATTTATCAGCTCAATAGACTCTTCAAATGTACCCAATAGTGGAGTATAATATTTAGAGAATTATCACTACATTTTAAACATAGTTGAAAATGTAAGAATATATGTAAACTTTGCGATAAGAGGAAGTTAAATTCTAGATTCTACAATGGCAAATCTGTTGTCTTACTCTCTCTCCCTCATCTCTGTATCACAATTCAGAATATTAAGAGGAAAATGCCAAGTGTTAAAAACGTGAAGCAGTTTGGTTAACTTTTTATTTTTATTTATTTTTACAGTCCAGAAAAGGCTATGAAAAGACTGTCATTGAAATCAATACACCAAGAATTAATCAAGTACCTATCGTTGATGTAATGATCAATGACTTTGGTGATCAGAATCAGAAGTTTGGATTTGAAGTTGGTCCTGTTTGTTTCCTTGGCTGATATTAGAACAAATACTCCATAAAACCAACAGAAATGTACCTTGGTGTCACCAACCCATTACACACCACATGCAAGTTTTGAGTAAGGATGGGGTAGACAACAACTTACGACATATACATGTACCGTTTAGGAAGTGCGACTGTCCTCGGGAGGGCAGAACCACCTGGGAAAAGCTCTGAAACCCATGAAGGTAGAAGACGTTGTGGCTAAGATGGAAAATAAGGCTGCTTGATTCCCTACGTTTTGTTTCTCCTTTTCTATTGGATTTCTTTGGTGCTGTCGGGGGGGCGGGGGAAAGAAAAATATATATTCGTAAAAAATATGGTGCTCATTCTCATCCATCAAGGATGTGCTTTACAAAGTGTGTTTAATAAATTGTAATTATTTTATGTACAGTTCTATACTGTTATCTAGGTGTCCATTTCCAAAACTTGCACGTGTCTCTGAATTTCATCTGACTCTAATTTTATGACGGTTGCAGAACTATGATGGCAATAAATATATGTATTATGAAAAAAATAAAGTTGTAATTTCTGATGACTCTAATTCCCTTTCTTCAATTAATAATAAAAGGCCTTTGTATATATTGATGTTGAAGAGTTCAGTTATTTGAAGTTGCCACAAAATTCTCAGAGGGCAAAAATCTGGAAGACTTTTGGAAGCACACGCAGATCAACTCTTCTCAGCTGACAGTACTTTTTGAAGAATTACAGCCAAAAATACTATACAGTTTGATGCTTTCTTCAGTGCTATACCTCAAACATTTTTTAATCAGTATCCAGGATTTCACAAGATAATTGTATATACAGAAAATAAGCAAGTTTATATTTTTGGACAAGAAAATGAAATGCTATCTTAATTAATTGATTCCGCCATCACTCAAACAATCAGATGTACAATTTTTTCTCTACTTTCACTCATGTCAGTGTGTTCAGTGTGTTCTATGATGGAGATTATATTAAAGATGGGAACTAAGCAGTTATTTATGAATCTGTGCAATTTTAGATTTTTAATCAATCCACTTCTGGAATTGGACTCTAAGTTGCATAGAATAATAGTTTCACTATTACTTTATCTGTCCAATAGATATTATTTCTTTCCTTTCGCAATAATTTCATATATTATTTGACACACCTAATTGCTAAATAAAATCGGGGTGGTTAACAGTGCCTATCTCAAAAGTCATACTTAATCAAGTCTATCAAAACATTTTTTTCCCCACTAAAGTATTTTATTTCAGGTAGCTGATGATAGGAGTAAAATTTTTAAATTACAAACTGAACTTTGTATCTATTTTGAGTAATATATGTAAGACTTGAAAATAACTGTGTTTTATTATTTCTTATATAAAGTGTTAAATTAACGGATACTAGATTCCACTGGAACATTTTCAGCTGATAATTTATCATGGCGGAGAATTCTTGTCATATTAAAAAGTGAAAAATTGTCATTCATAATTTCTTCTGTTTCTCAAAATCAAATTTGTAAATATCCTCTCGAGGGGATATGTGAATCGTATAATAAACTCAAGTCTTGTCTCCCTGGCTTGGCCATGCTCTTTCTTAAATAAGTTCCAAACTCTTCTCTCTTTCAGCAAAGCCTTTGTATTCTGTTTCTTGACCCTCCAGAATAGGTTTACACACTTTTGAGTAAGCATACTAGCCCTTAGAGATGAATAGTTATTTTATGTAAAATAATAAATACCCCATGGTAATGTTACCTTTACAAAATATAATTATAGGTCTAAATTTTCAGAGGGTTATTTCTATAATGAAAACATTTCACAAGGTCCCAAATATATGTTCTATAATTTCTGCAGTAAATATGTTCCTAGAACTTGCCTTTTGAATTGCAGTCTCTGAATCATATGTTACATAATAGAGAGAGATTCTCTAAGCCAAATATTTTGCATAAATCTCTTACTTGAATCAAGGAAGCAGTGTTATGTGGAAATGTAAAAAACATTTATTGTTGACTGTTGTTTGACCAATCCTTTTGTGTTCTTTTTATGTGATACTATGGGCATAGTATGCAGCATAACATATTCTTTTTCTCACTCCCTTAAAACTGATTTAACTTGGACAAAAAACAGCCCAGTGGAATGGAAAAATCACTGTAGGAGACTTTAACCTCTTGGCCCACACATATTCATGTTATTCATGTGTAAAATATGGAAAATAATACAGGCCTTCCAACTTCATTGGCCTGAAGTTGCAAAATTCAAAATATATATAACATATGAATACAAAATAAATACAGATATGCCTATCAAAATGAAAACATTATAAAATTATTGTAATAGAATAATATCCAAAATATTATAAAATTTTTAAAAAGAGAGAAATAGTTTAACTAAATTTCTGGACCTGCTCTCTGATGCTTCAGTCTCCTCTCTGATGTTTCCATCATGGTTACTAAAGGGTATTACCAAATTTAGGTAAAGGTTTACTACATGTCGTTCTTACGTGTGCCATAAAAATTGTGAGAATTTCCCATAAATTAGACGAGCTTCAGTATATATCAAACTGTGTTTATCTTCCACTACCAATAGACTTCAGGTATAGACACAATTCACACACTATAATACAGTGGATAGTAAGAATATTCTAAAAGCCATTCCTACAGTAGGTTTGCTTGCAGTAATTGTGCATAAAATGGATTGTAAACTGTGCAATTATACCCTGCCAGGTAAACATATTCACACACTCAAGATATATGTATCCCTAATTGAATATTCTTTCAACAATTCCCAGCACGAAGTAAAACATCAACAAGTTAGAAATGGAAAGTCACAGGGTTTTTAATGGATCATAGTCAATTAATCTTGGTTCTTGAGGCAAAGTTAAATAGAAAATGATGTGTCGGAAAAATAAGTATTTTGGAGATTTTAAAGCTCTGCTGCATGGATTTATGAGATGAGTCCGATATGAGCCTAATACCAAGATTCTGTTGCAAAACTTTAAATGGAGATAATACATGTTTGTACTGTTAAAAAATCGAATTCACTGTCATCCTGTCAATACCCACTCACAGCAACCTTCTAGGTCAGGGCAGAACTCCCCCTGTGAGGTTCTGAGAATGTACCTGCTTATGGGAGTAGAGCACCCTCTCTCTCCTGCAGAGCGGCTGGTGGTTTTGAACATCAGACATTGCAGATTGCAACCGACCTCTACAGCACCAAGGGTTCCAGATTTGGAGTAGGGTAATAAAAACTGTAAGGAGAAAGGATAAGTATAAATCCATAGAAAAGAAGAAATGACTATTTAACCATTTTAAAATATTTAGATTCACCAACTGGATACATCTTAGCAGTTACAGTTGCCCTGCATTAAGAATATATATATCAAAAAGAAGAAACAAAATTTTGGCTTTAATAAAATTGGAAAATCCAGCAAGTCTCAATGAAATAAATAAACAGTCTTAGCATGACTCCAACTTTGTATTGCCTATTATACTTTACACACGACTGTAATGATTACATATGAAAATAACTTGTTATAAACTCTATGGCTTAATTTTCAATCAAAATATAGTTAAGTCCTTAAAAGTAGCAAAAACATTAGGGAGAGATACACGCCTTAGAATATTAAACCATTTGGGATAGATGGGCAGCATTTAGCCAAGGAAAGAATTCAGAGGATTAGACAAGAAGGAATGGAAACAGGAAATACCGAAAGGATGTGGATTAAGTGATGTTACATTGGGGTCCTTAGCTGGTTCATTTTCATTATCACCCTATATTGTGGTTAGTTCCTCAAGAATCACTCTTCTCAGTTAAAATGTAGTCCTTAGTCAACTCCCACAGTGTCCTTACCATCCGCGTTTGTTTGCAAATAACTCGGTCTATTCATTTCTGTGATATCACTATTTGTAAGGATCTTGAGAAGGGTTTACATGAGGTTCCAGGGAGAAGAGAAAATCAACTGGAATAACCAGGGGCCAAAGAGCGATGAGCCTGCCTTTAACCTATATCAGGATAACATCGGGTAGTAGATCACTTCTAAAGCCAGTAGGTCCACAGCAGCAGTGTCACTAAGAGGGTGGAGGTATGTGGATGATGGAGGGCTGTCCCTGTCAGAGGAAGTGACACTATGACTGTAATTTTTTGAACATCATTCTATCAGAAATGTAGGTTTAAATAAAAATATCCCTGTAGTTAATAATAAAAACAAAAATATTTTTCATAAACCCAGTTTACCTGTATCAATATACCCGCAAGGCTAAAACTCTGGGCTAATTTAAGTTTTAGGCCTAATGTTCTGCCTACCAAGGAAAATTCTTTACAAAAGTGTTCTTTATATAAGGAATACAGATGCAGGCAGACAACTCTCACGCAAAAAAACCAAATCCTCAATATCGGCCATCACCTACAACTTGGCCTTTGACTTTGTTGCTGTTACCACAGAAAGCACTGAATAGGCACCTCACATAAAGCAAAGATATTAGTTACATGCTCATATTGATTATCATGCATCCTGACATGTTTTATTTCAGTCTATGAGACTTTATTTTACTTTAGAAATAATTCATTGTGTCCATGAAACTGATAAATGAGCTATCTTGAAAATTCTGGCCCGTTAAGGTTTGGGCAGATTTTGAGACATTTTCTTGATGATTTTTCTTATTCTTGTATACATTAACAATAAAAGGAAACATATCATACCTGAATACAGGAATAATTCTTAAGATACCTGAACTGTTCCCATGGATGATTCACTCTGACTTTAATGTCTAAGTACACTATGTATCAGATTGACAATGTTCACGTTAATGGCCCTGTTACATACACAACAATTTTACCTAAAAGCATAGACTTTGCAATATTCTAACGTCTATGTGTACATATAAGAAACTTTATATCAATAAAGTAGGGTAAATCTATGAAATGTATGCTGAGTTTGCTAAAATTATCTCAGAAGATTTACATGAAATCCTTTTCATAATATATTTGTAAGTAAACTTAAATAAAGGTCTGTAAAACATAAAGTCTATAAGGTGCATAATATTACTTAAACTATTTTTTCACTTAATCATCTCATAATTTCATATTATAAAGAGCAGTAAAAATACTCTTGCCTTGCCATCAGCATAAGGCTTCTGATTAGCTACTTTCATATACAATTTTCATCTGTAACAAAAAGAGATGAACCACAAAATAAACATTGAAAATGTATGAAAACAAAAGATATTCCAGCCAACTCTAGTTAATTTCATTCAAATAAAGCAGCTGCAGGCAAACTCTCAGTGATAGGAGAGTATTGTATCCTGTATCAGTTACTTTGTAAGAATTCACAGCAAGAATCCTTCACACTTTGCAAATTGGTATCATAATCAGAAGCTTTGTCATCTGAAGCATTAGGATTCCTGATGTCTCTGAGCTGTTTTTATGTAACTCATCTGCTTAACAAAGGGAGAGCTGATCAACAGATCTAGGGAGAACCAATGAGAGGGTAAAAAAAAAAGATATAATTTCCTTTTCACTCACAAAGTTATCTCTGAAACGATGTCTTCTGCTTTAGTGAAAACTTAGTCTGAAAGAAACTCTCTAGAAGAAAAGACAGAACTAAAACAGGGGAAAAAAACCCAGATGACTTTTTCTAAGGAAATTCAGGAGCAGAAAGTTAGCTAGCACACACTGTGATAACCATACCCACTGCCATCCAGCCAAGTTCAACTCCTAGCAGCCCGATAGAACGTTTACTGCTCCACGGAGTTTCCAAAGTTGGAAATATGGTTGGGAGCAGCTTTGCTGGTTTGCACAGCTGACGCAGTGGTTAGAAGTCACACAATTTTATTACTGTGCCAGAGGGTTTCCCACACTTTAATAAAAGTACCCGACTGTTGAAAAAGAGGTGTTTTTAAATAACTTCAGTATGAAATTCTCCCAGTCTTAGCACACATATATCCATGATCATTAAACTATTCAAATAAATTGTCCTCTTCAAATAAATTGTCCTCTTCAAGTATTATTACCCGTATCCATGAAAATCATGGGAAAACACACTTTTTGTATTTATTTATATTTCATTTTAATGCATTTGATAATGCTCCTTATGAATTTTCACATTTAATTATTTTGATATGTATTTTTTAATTTCTTATTATGAATTGGGGAAAGGCTTATAGAGCAAATCATCAGCTTTTCATTCAACAGTTTAATACACATTTTGTTTCAACCCATCGATCGCATCCATTCCTTCCCTGAAGCACTCAGCTCATTCCGCCCTGTGATTCCCGCTTCGGTTCCTCCTCCTTCCCTCACCCTCTGCACTTTGTCTTTGTGTACATGTTGCCGCTTTGATTTTAAATGCCTATTTCTGTAATGCAGAGGTGAAGGGTGATGAAGGATCAGCCTTGGTCATTCCATCAATCTCTGTTGTTGGTAGGCGCCATCCAGTCAGGGAATCCATCGTGACCTTATGCATAAAAGACCAAGCACTGCCCGGTCCTGCACCAGCCTCACCACTGTTCCATGCTGGTGCTCCCTTGGCAGCCAGTGTCACTCCTGGAGGGCCTTCTGTGCTTCCGCTCTACTTTGCATGGT